TTTAACTTTTTGAGGAATCTCCATACTACTTTCCAGAGTGGCTACACCAGTTTACATTCCTATCAACAGCATAAGAGGGCTCCCCTTTCTCCACATCCTTGCCAACATTTGTTGATTCCTGTGTTTTTTAGCCATTCTGACAGTTGTGGGGTGCTCTCATCATGGTTTTGATTTGTAGTTCCCTGAAGGTGGGAAATACTGAACATCTATTTCATGAGTCTGTTGGTGATCTGGATGTCTTCTTTGGAAAAATGTCTATTCATGCCTTCTGCCCATTTTTTTTTTAAGATTTTATTTATTTATTTGACAGACAGAGATCACAGGTAGGCAGAGAAGCAGGCAGAGAGAGAGGAGGAAGCAGGCTCCTTGCTGAGCAGACAGCCCGATGCGGGGCTCGATTCCAGGACTCTGGGATCACGACCTGAGCTGAAGGCAGAGGCTTTAACCCACTGAGCCACCCAGGCGCCCCTCTGCCCATTTTTTAACTGGGTTATTTGTATTTGGGTATTGAGTTTGATATGTTCTTTATAGATTTTGGATACCAACTCTTTATCAGATATCATTTGCAAATCTTCTCCCATTCCAAACATTGACTTTTAGGTTTTTTTGACTGTTTCCTCACTCTTCAGAAGGTTTTTATCTTGATGAAGTCCCAATGGTTAATTATTGTCTCTGTTTCCCTCACCTCTGGAGACATGTCTAGCAAGAAGTTGCTGCAGCTGAGGTCAAATAAATTGCTTCCTTTTTTCCTTTCTAGGATTTTGGTGGTTTCTTTTCCACATTGAGGTCTTTCATCTATTTTGAGCTTATCTTTGTGTATGGTGTAAGAGAATGGTCCAGTTTCATTCATCTATGTGTGGCCATCCAATTTTCCCAGCACCGTTTGTTGAAGAGACCATCTTTCTCCATTGCATGCTCTTTCCTGCTTTGTCTAAGATTAGTTGACCATAAAGGTGAGGGTCAATTTCTGAGTTCTCCATTCTGTTCCATGAATCTATGAGCCTGTTTTTGTGTGAGTATCTTACTGTCTTGTAGACTACAACTTTGTAATATACCTTGAAGTCTAGAATTGTGATGCTTCAAGTTTCGTTTTTCTTTTCAGGATTGCTTTGGCTATTTGGGCTCTTTTCTGGTTCCATGCAAATTTTAGAATTGTTTGTTCTAGCTTTTGAAGAATGCTGGTGTTATTTTGATAGGGGGTTGCTTTAAATGTGTAGATTGCTTTGGGTAGTATAGACATTTTAGCAATGTTTATTCTTCCAGTCTACTAGATGGATTTTTTTCCCCCATTTCTTTGTGTCCTCTTCAATTTATTTTGTAAGTATTCTATAGTTTTCAGATCTTTTACCTCTTCGGTTAGGATTATTCCTAGGTATCTCATTGTTTTTGGTGCAATTATAAATGGGATCAATTCCTTGATTTATTTTTCTGCTACTTCATTATTGGTATATAGAAATGCAACAGACTTGTGTACGTTGATTTTGTATACAGTGACTTTACTAAATTTTTGTATCTGTTCTAGCAATTTTTTGTGGAGTCTTTTTTATGATATCTTCTTAAATTTATCAGGAATTTATTACCATGCTGACATATACAGATCTACAGATTTGGGCATAATATTACATAGTATACATTACAGTAATTTATTTAAGTTCTTACTGAATGATAAACTTTTGGATGACTTTTTCCTTTTTTATTATTACAAGTAACTATGAAAAACATATTTGTATATATAACTTTATTTATGTGTGGATATTTCTTTTGAGATGGAAACCTATAAACATAATTAATGAAGTCACCCTTTAAGGCATTTTATATTTTGTTAGGTATGGCCACATGTCCTGAATTTTAGGCCTCTATTTTTGTTTGCATTTTGCACTCCCCCACTCCCATAGTACATAAGTGCCTCATAGTGAGCAATTGCAAAATTCTTTAATTCTTATAACTTACTCTCCACCGTCATCCTTTGTCCCCTTCCTGCCCTTTCTTTACTGCCTTGTTGAATACTGGGACTTTCCAGAAGGCTGATTAGCCAATAAACAGAGGAAAAACCTAGATTGTCTTTACTTTCAGTTCCCTTTACCTGCTTCTTTCTTTTTCAAAACACCAGAGGAGTTTTCTAAAATGCAGATTTGATAATATCACACTTTTTCTCAAAAAAACTTCAAAAGGGGACACCTGGGTGGCTCAGTTGTTAAGTGTCTGCCTTTGGCTCAGGTCATGATCCCAGGGTCTTGGGACTGAGCCTTGCACTGGGCTCTGGGCTCAGCATGGAGCCTGTTTCTTCCTCTCCCACTCCCCCGCTTGTATTTCTTCTCTAGCTGCCTATGTCAAATAAATTAAAAAACAAAACAAAACAAAACTTCCAAAGTTCTTTGAAGTCAGAGTGTAGTTGCTGTGTCTTAGCATAGCACACAAAATTGTCCCTGATCAGCTTTAGATCATTGCTTCTGCCACACCCTTCTGAGTCATATTTAGTAAGCTTTTAGTTCTAAGAATGTGACCTCTTTTACCCTTCCTTCCTTTGCTTACCAATTTCCTTTTGCCTAGTAAGCAAAGTATTCACCCATCATCATAGTCCATATAGGAAACTCCTTCTTATTTTTCAAGTAATTTCCCAGCTTTTCCATTTAAAAATAAGGAGAAAAATGATACCTACATCTTAGTTTTGTTGTAATTCTATGAGATAATCCCATTTTAAGTCATTATTTCAGCCAAATATTATTGTTGTGTAGAAATGAAACAGACTTGTTGCATTTCTTGTTCCTTAATTTTCTTTCTGACACATTTTTATAACATAAGCATATATTAGTAATTAAAAAAAAACCACAATCATTTAACAATATAGTACATGGCAAGATATCTTTACTCAGTGAATGTAGAGCTGAGTCAAATGAATTGATTGAGACCAAGATGTGTGATGTTGGTTACATTCCTCTAATCAAGCGGATTGCTGGGTAGAACTTGTTTGTTTGATTGCCTAAACATGTCATTATGCAGTCCATACACCCATCACTCAGTCTCAATAATAATTAACATTTTGATAATTTAGATGTGACTTATATTTAACAAAACCACCTTGTGCTGCCATTTCGTGCCCTGCTAGTCAAACACCTGTTCATAATCTCTTCTAGTCATTTTCTGGAAATGATGGCAAAGCTTGCCATTTTGTAGCTTACAAAATAATTTTTCCTTTCCTTTTGGATGAGTATCTTCAGTTTTCTGGAATGGTCTTCATCTTTGCTGTTCTTCATCTTCATCTAGTCTGTTCAGGCTGCTGTAACAAAAACACCATGGTCTGGGTGACTCAAGCAACAAACATGACTCACAGTTCTGGAGGCTGGAAGCCCAAGATCAAGGTGCCTGTAGATCATTTCTTTCCTGGCTTTCAAATAACCACCTTATTGTTGTGTCTTCACATGACAATAGTGGCAAGGGAACTCTTTGGGGTCTGTTTTATCAGGGCACTAATTCCATCATGAAGACTCCACCCTGATGATGTAATTACTTCTTAAAACCTGCACTGCTACCATCACAATGAAGGTTAAGATTTCAACATATGATTTCAATATGACACAAACATTTGGCTCATAATAACTAATAATCTTGCAAATCCCTTCAGCACATTAATTAAGGACCATCTGATGAAATTATTCTCAGCTGGAAATAAAGTTCTTACTAGAAGCCTTGCCCTGTTTTTTTTTTTTAATTCATCCATCTTGGGATTTATTCCCCTCTTTGTCTTGCATATTCAGTTTTTTTTTTTTTAAATTACAATTCATCCCTCACTGCCAAGATGGAAACCAGTAAGTAGATAAATACTTCTTTCTTTTGATCACCTGCTGGTGCTACTTTCTATGTTTCTATTTTTCCTGATTCTAAGACATCTTGGCACTTATGAACATGTTATTGTTAAGGATTCCTGCAGGAAGGAATGTGACTGCATGAGATGTTGTTAAGTCAAGGTTTCGTTGAAGGCCTAGCATAAGTGGCTTTCTGTGTACTGTATACCCACCTCTGAGCTTCTGTGCTAGAGGGATTCAGCTCTCTCTCCTAGAACCCTCATGTTCTGTTCGGTGAGAGAATATATTCAATTTGACCCAAATACAGCACACCAAACTTCTTAGTCCCACTGAGTGTAATAAAAATCTAGAGCTCTAAGCTCTGAGAGCCCCCTACCACTGCAGAAGAAAGGGTGATATGGATAGAAGGGCCACAGAAGAAGGATGGCCCTATAAGGCTTAAATTCATGTCTCTCCCTACTAAACACTTGCTCTTTCAACTTAAGAGAAACATAGGATTCGATAAACCTGATTTCTAGTCAGCAAAAGACACATAATAGTTACAGCTGCACTGCTGCCTTACTGAGTTAATGTGAGAATCCAATAAGGCAACTCTTTGAAATGTTGTTGGAATTATCAGTGAAGGATAATCTAGGATGTATTTCTGATAGGTGTGGTGGTAAAGAGCATGCATTGCAGAGGTAATATGTGTAAGAAGGAAGAAGAATGTGTAAGAAGGAAGAAGAATGTGTAAGAAATCTAAATCAGTTTGCTTTTTCTGTCTCTTCCACCAATCCCAGCAAAGCAGCTACTGTGACTATTATTTGTCTCTCTTATGGGTCCAGAGACAGAGAGTCATGCTTTCCTCAGATTATATCCAAGAGGCTGGGTCCTGACCTTGAAGGAGAAGGATGCAGCTTTTTTTTTTTTTAAGATTTAATTTATTTGAGAGAGAGAGGGAAGGAGAGAGAGAGAGAACCAGTTTGGGGTAGGGGGCAGAGAGAGGGAGAAGCAGACTCTCCACTGAGCCTGACATGGGCTTGATCACAGGACACTGGGACAACAACCTGAGCCAAAGGCAGACGCTTCACCAACTTAGCCACCCAAGTGCCCCAAAGATGCACTTTTTAGATGAGATGAGATTCCTGTGCTAAGATACCTTTGCAATGTTCAAGAAAGGCTGAACATTGAGGTCTCATTTCCTTATTCCTTCTCCAGGTTGATGAATTCTGGCCTTACATCAGGCTGTTGTCCAGCTTTGTCATCAGTGCTCAGCACTAACCAGAAGCTCACACACCTTTACCTACAGGGCAATGCTCTTGGAGACACTGGAGTTAAGCTACTCTGTGAGGGCCTCTTGCACCCCAACTGTAAGCTTCAGATATTGGAGTAAGTCCCTTAGCTAATTACAGTGATGGGAATGCATGGTGGCTAAGGTGGGGGGAATGATGGTGGGATGATTTTTATCTGAGAAGTGACGGTGATCTCCTAAGGTTTGGCTTATTACAGGATCATGGGACTGGGAGGAGTTCTATTTCTTGGTGGTATAAAGATAAAAACTGTATTTCACCACAAAAGAGTAGGGCAATATGGCACTTGTGTTTAAGGGAAATTTGGAGAGAGCCATAGAATTTTGGAAAAATCAGTTCACAAACTATTACTGATTGGATCTGCACAATCCAGGAGACTGGAAAAAACACCTTCATCTGAAACGGGAGAAGAATAACCACAGGCACATAAAATTATTCCAAATTCATTAATCCTGTGCTTTTTGTGCATTTGAAACATTGCAGGCTGAGATCAGGGGGATCTAGGAGGATAGTTAAGGGGACATTTTCTCTAAATCACCCTCTTTCTTGCAGATTAGATGGCTGTAGCCTCACCTCACACTGTTGCTGGGATCTTTCCACACTTCTGACCTCTAATAAGAGCCTGCGGGAGCTGAGCCTGGGCAGTAATGACCTGGGTGATCTAGGGGTCATGCTGCTCTGTGAAGTGTTAAAACAGCAGGGCTGCCTCCTAAAAAGCCTGAAGTAAGTATGCTTTGCACATATTTATGTGGCAGTGTTCAGAGTACTAAGGACAAGTTGATGAGTAATCAAAACCCAGGATGGCTTCATTTGTATTCAGACTGAGGTTGGGTCTGTGTCTCTTGTTGCAGACTTTTTTATGATTCACAAACCACATATTTAACTTCATCCAGACAGTTAGAATAATTAAGTTTCAGTTGGGTGTCAAAAGAGTTTCCATTCATATTCCTGAAAGAAACCCAAGTCCCAATGAAAGTGGCCAAATAAAATTATATGACCCTGTAAGGGACCAAAGGTACTTTGTAGACCTAGAGCAGTCCATGATTCCTCTTAATTGCAAAGGTCTTTGCACAGTGGGGGTGTTCTTAGGATTTGAAATGAGAAAAGAAAGTTCCAGAAATGTCAAGATTAGAAATTCCATAAGCCAGTTTATGTGCATTGTGTTGCGTTTCATTACTAGTGATACCACTGGTATTCATTACCTCTCCAGTAAGAGCTTCCTAGTGAGTCCTGTACCTTTGTCAACCCTGATAATCACGTTCTCGCCAGAAGAACTTTCCCTCACTTGGCTTTAGGGGCTACACCTTCTCCACACTAGATTTTTTTCTCCCTCATTTGCTATTTCTGCTCAGTATCCTTTTGTGGATTCTCTTTATCATTCTGACCTGTACATGCTGAAACACCAGGACTCAATCATTGAGCTATTTTTTTTTCTCTATACTTTATCCCATGTTGATATCATCCAGTGTTCTGGCTTTGCCATATATATGCTGTGCCAGCCAATTTATACCTGCATGAATTCCCTGTCAAAATATTAATCTGACCTTTCCATTCATATGTCTAATAAATGTGCTGAACTTTACATGTCTAAATCCAAACCTGTATTGGCCCCTCTTCTGCTTCTTTCTCATCTCAGTCAATGGTTACTCAGTGAGAATTGCTCAAGCCAAAAACAAACAAAACAATGCCACAAAAACAACAAAAAATCCCATCACTCTAGGTCAACTTTTTTATATGCACATCAACTCATTGGCATGTCCTGTTTGTTCTGCTTCCATAATATGCCAGCTTCATGACTCCTACCCTAGTTCAAGCCACTGTCCCCCTTGTCTGAATTGTTCTGATGGCATCTTCCAGGCTACTCTGCATCTATTACTATCCTGACCATGGCAGATGGAGGGTGCACCTAAAACAGGAGCAAATGATTATATCATTCCTACCCATGTGCTCTAGTGACTCCCTATCACATTGAGAGTAACATCCACAAATCCATGGCAGTGCCTAAGGCCTCCTGTGATCCAGCCTCTGCTCTTTCTGCAAATTCATTGTCTCCTAATCCATGTTCCTTCTGCTCCACACACACTGATCTTGCAGTTTTGCAAAAATATGGTCACCTCCAGAACTTGGCATTTCCTGTTCCCTCTGCCTGAACCTCTCTCCCCTTTGATATCCATGTGTCTTCTTCCCATGTATCCTTAAATTCTCTGCTTAGAGGTCTTCTTCTGTGTCTGTCTCTGGCCATCCTACTGAAAATAACAGTCCATCATATTCCCCCCCTTTTCGCTTATTTTCCTCTGTAGTGTGATCACCATCATACATACCTGCTACATCACTTTCTTGCTTATTTGGTATCTCTATCTTACTCAAATAATATAAATTCTATTAGTCCTGGGTTTCTGTTCTAGTTCATGACCTCAAGGCTGAGAACCAGTTGGAATGCAGGCTCAAATAAACAGAAGTGTGCATCCTTATGTAGACACAGTGGAGCACAGGTACTGCAGGAAAAGCTAACATTTTCAGAGTGAAGAGAAATAGAATGAAAAAGGGAAGGGTAGGCCAGGATGAAGCTGAGACATTACTGTATCTGAAGTCACTGACCTAGCCCTGAGGGACACTCTGCAGATGAAGGACAGGCTTCAAACTGACCAAGGAACCTCTGGATACAATCAACCTGTCTCATTAGCTCAGGTGCCTTAAACAACAGATATTTATTGCTCACAGTTTTGAATATGGGAAGTCTAAGATCACAGTGCCAACTAATTCAGGTTCTGGTGAGAGTGTTCTTCCAGGCTTGCAGATGGCTGTCTTTTACCCATGTACTTATGTGGAAGAGAGAGACAGAGACAGGGACACTGTGTGCCCTGGCATCTCTTACCTTAGGGGAATGATCTCATTATGATGACCCACTCCCATGACCTCATCTAACCTTAACTATATCCGAAATGTCCCATTTCAAATACCATCACATGAGGGATTAGGGCTTCTGTGTAGGAATTTTGAAGAAACACAAACATTCAATCCATAACACAACCAAATCAAGATTGGTAGAACTGGTGCAGGACAAATGGTGTGATTTCTTAACTAAGTTGCAAGGGAAACTTAAGAAAAAAAGGAGACAAGAGGGAAGAAATTATATATCAAAGAAGACTTGAGAGGCATACAAAACAGTTGCAATGTGGGAACTTTACTTGGCTCCTGATTAAATGAACCTAATATAAAAAATGTATCAGCTAATTGAGGAAATTTAAACACTGACTGGACATATATTGATATTAAGGAATCAGTGTTAACTTTTTAAGTGTGATATTGGCATTGGTGGTTGTGTTTCTAAAAACCTTCATTTGGTGTCACATAGTGCAACATTTACAGATGCATGCAATGCTGTGTTTGTAATAATCCATTGATGTCAGGAGTAGGTGGGTGATAGATGAAACAAGATTGGCCATGAGTTATTTTTTTAATGTATTTTCTAAAAAGATCTTATTTAATTATTTGAGATACAGAGATTGAGAGAGAGCAAGAGCATGAGCAGGGGAGGAGGGCAGAGGGAGAAGGAGAAGCAGACCCCTCACTGAGCAGGGAGCCCCATGACATGGTACTCAATCCCAGGACCTTGGGATCATAACCTGAGCTGAAGGCAGATGCTTAACTGACTGAACTACCCAGGTGTCCCTGGCAATGGGTTATTAATTGTCAAATTTGGGTAATAGGAATAGGGACTCACTACCATTCTCTCTAAATTAACATGTTTAAATATTTCCAAACTTGAAGGTTAAAAATATAACAGAAAAACAATAGGCATGAAGTGTAGCATTGGAGAGCTTAGAAGTATGTTAGGTCAAGGGAAGTAAGGAGATGAGGTTTTTAAGGCAAAACTCTGAGAGTGCTCTTTGAAGAATATAACACAAGGCTGTCAATTTGTTCTTACAGGTTATGTGAAATGTATTTCAATTATGATACAAAATGTGCATTAGAAACACTTCAAGAAGAAAAGCCTGAGTTGACCATTGTCTTTGAGCCCTTTTGGTAGTGATAGATGCCGGCTGCCAGATACCAGCATTTTGGCTCCCTGTCATCCAAGTGAGAATGAGCACTCCTCCAACCAAGGTGAAGACCATCACTCCACGATTCCTCTGGTCCAGGGTGGGACAGCGAAATCTTGCTGATGCTCTGTTTTACAAGAGAAGCATCTCCTTTCCCCTGGCTTGAAGACACCAGGGCAATGAAATCATCCAAATGAGGTGGTTCTCATTATAGAACCTTAGTCAGAGGATATGTTCCTGTTGGTGACCTCATATAACTAACTCATGTAATAAAGCACTTTTTCTGTTTTTCTCTTCTTACTCTCTCTAAAGCTCCTTTCCCTCATACCCTTTTTACCCATCTTTGTTCTGTTTACCTTCACCCATATCACCATTATCACCCACTCCTATCTTTCTGACTATAACAGAACTAGTAAACTATATGCTATGTTGCAGTTTTGTAGCAGCAACTTATTTATTTTTAATTTTTGTAACAGTTATATTTTCTAATAAAATAATTCATGTTTATTGTAGCTGGTTGAAAAGTCAGAAAATTTAAAACTTTTTTGTATTTATTGATTTAAATAGTGTCTTTCCCTTAATTAATTAATTTTATTTTTAAATTATTTATTACTATTATTATGTGCAATGATAGTACATCATTAGTTTTTAATGAACAACAATTCACTAGTTGCATATAACACACAGTGCTCATCACAACATGTGCCCTCCTTAATACCCATCACCCAGCTAACCCATCCCCCATGTCCTCCCTTCTGTAACCCTCAGTTAGTTTCCTGGAGTCGAGTCTTTCATAGTTTGTCTCCCTCTCTGATTTCTTCCAATTCAGTTTTCCCTCCCTTCCCCTGTGCTTTTCCTTAGGTTCCACATATGAGTGAAACCATCTGATAACTGTCTTTCTCTGCTTGACTTATTTCATTTAGCATAATCTCCTCCAGTTCTGTCCATGTTGATGCTAATGCTGGGTATTCAGCCTTTCTGATGGCTGAGTAATACTCCATTGTATATATGAACCACATCTTCTTTATCCATTCATCTGTTGAAGGGCATCATGTCTCCTCCCACAATTTGGGTATTGTGGACATTGCTGCTATGAATATTTGGATGTATGTGCCCATTCTTTTCACTACATCTTTATCTTTTGGGTAAATACCTAGTAGTGTAATTACTGCATCCTAAGGTAATTCTATTATTAATAACCTGAAAAACCTCCATACTGTTTTCCAGAGTGGATGTATCAGCTTGCATTCTACCAACAGTGTAAGAGAGTTCCCCTTTCTCTACATCCTCACCAACACTTGTTTGCTGTCTTTTTAATTTTTGTCATTCTAATGGGAGTAAGGTAGTATCTCATTGTGGTTTTGATTTGTATTTCCCTGATGGCTGGTGATGTTGAACATTTTTTCATTTGTCTGTTAGCCATTTGTATGTCTTCTTTTTGGAGATATGTCTGTTCAACTCTTCTGCCCATTTATCTATCCATTTATTGACTGAATTATTTATTTTTTGGGTGTTGAGTTTGAGAAGTTCTTTATAGATCTGGATACCAGTCTTATATACATAACGTCATTTGCAATTATTTGTCACATTCTGTGGATTGCCTCTTTGTTTTGTTGACTATTTCTTTTGCTGTGCAAAAGCTTTTTATCTTGATGAAGTCCCAATAGTTCATTTTTGCTTTTGTTTCCCTTGCCTTTATACATGTCTTGAAAGACATCACTGTGACCAATGTTGAAGAGGTTACTTCTTATGTTCTCCTTTAGGACTTTGATAGATTTCTTTCTCACATTGAGGTCTTTCAACCATTTAGAGTTTACCTTTGCATATGGTGTAAGTGAATGGTCCAGACTCATTCTTCTGCATGTGGCTGTTCAATTTTTTCCAGCACCATTTATTGGAGAATCTGTCTTTTCTTCCATTGGATGTTCTTTCCTGCTTTGTCAAAGATTAGTTGACCATAGCAATGAGTGTCCATTTCTGGGGTCTCTCTTATGTTCCATTGATCTATGTGTCTGTTTGTGCGCTGATAGCATGCTTTCTTGATGATCACAGCTGTGTAATATAGCTTGGAGTCGAGCACTGTAATGCCCGTAGATTTGGTTTTCTTTTTCAACAATCCCTGGCAATTTGGGGTCTTTTCTGGTTCCATATAAATTTCAGGATTGTTTATTCTAGCTCTGCAAAAAATGTCAGTGGCATTTTGATAGGGATTTCACTGTAAGTGTAGATTGCTCTTGGCAGCATAGACATTTTAACAATGTTTATTCTTTCAACCCATGAGCATGGAATGTTTTTCCAACTCTTTGTGTCTTCCTCAGTATCTTTCATAAGCATTATGTAGTTTCTAGAATATATATCTTTTATATCTTTGGTAGGTTTGTTCCTAGGTATCTTATGGTTTTTGGTGCTATTGTAAATGGAATTGATTCCTTAATACCTCTTTCTTCATCCACATTGTTAGTGTATAGAAATGCAACTGATTTCTGTGTATTGATTTTTTATCCTGCCACTTTACTGAATTGTTGTATGAGTTCTAGTAATTTGAGGAGTCTTTTGAGTTTTCCACAAAAAGTATCATGTCATCTGTGAAGAGATAGTTTGAGTTCTTCTTTGCCAATTTGAATGCCTTTTATTTTGTTGTTGTTGTTGTTGTCTGATTGCTGAGGCTAGGACTTCTAGTACTATGATGAACAAAAGTGATGAGAATGGGCATCCCTGTCGTGTTCCTGGCCTTAAAGGAAAATCTCCCAGTTTTTTCCCACTGAGAATGTTAGTCACTGTGGGCTTTTCATAGATGGCCTTTATGATATTGAGGTATGTTCTCTCTATCCCTACATTCTGAAGAGTTAATCAGGAAAGGATACTGTATTTTGTCAAATGCTTTTTCTGCATCAATTGAGAGGACCATATGGTTCTTCTCTTTTCTTTTATTAATGTGCTGTATAACACTGATTGATTTGCAAGTTTAACACTTGCATCCCAGGCATAAATCCCACCTGGTCACGATAGGTAATCCTTTTAATGTACTGACAGATCCTATTGGCTAGGATCTTGAGTATTTTGGCATCTATGTTCATCAAGAATATTGGACTGTAATTCTTTCTGATGGGGTCTTTGCCTGGTTTTGGGATCAGTGTAATGCCTCATAAAAGCAGTTTGGAAGTTTTCCCTTCTGTTTCTATTTTTTGGAACAGTTTCAGTAGAATAGGTATTATTTCTTCTTTAAATGTTTGGTAGAATTCCCTTGGGAAGCCATCAGGCTCTGGACTTTTGTTTTTTTGGGAGGTTTATGATTGCTGCTTCAATTTTGTTACTGGTTATTGGTCTATTCAGTTGTCTATATTTTCCAGTTTCAGTTTTGTTAGTTTGTATATTTCCAGGAAGGCATCCATTTCTTCCAGATTGCTTAATTTGTTCACATATAGTTGCTGGTAATAATTTCTAATAATTGTTTCAATTCCTTGCTGTTAGTCATGATGTCTCCCCTTTCATTCATGATTTTATTAATTTGGGTCTTTTTTTTTCTTTTTTCCTGGATAAGTTTGACTAGTGGTTTATTGATCTTATTCTTTTGTGGAACTAGCTTCTAGTTTCGTTGATCTGTCTTAGTGTTTTTTCTGGTTTTTATTTCATTGAACTCTGCTCTAATCTTTATTATTTCTCTTCTCCTGCTTGTCTTAGGTTTTATTTGATGTTCTTTCTCCTTTAGGTGTGGGGTTAGCTTGTGCATTTGGGATTTTTCTACTTTATTGAGAGAGGGCTGGATGGCTATGTATTTCCCCCTTAGGTCCACCTTTGCAGTATCCCATAGGTTTTGGACTGATGTGTTTTCATTCTCATTAATTTCCATGAATTGTTTAAGTTCTTTGATTCCTTGGTTGACCCATTCATTCTTTATCATGATGTTCTTTAACTTCCAAATATTTGAATTCCTTCCAAATTTTTTCTTGTGATTGAGTTCAAGTTTCAAAACATTGTGGTCTGAGAATATGCAGGGAATAATCTCAATCTTTTGGTATCAGTTGAGACCTGATTTGTCAGCCAGTATGTGGTCTATTCTGGAGAAAATTCCATGTGCACTGGAGAAGAATGAATATTCTTTTATTTTAGGGTGGAATTTTTGTATGTATCTATGAAGTCCCTCTGGTCCAATGTGTCAATCAAAGCTCCTGTTTCCTTGTGGATCTGCTTAGATGATCTATCTGTTTTTGTGAGTGGAGTGTTTAGGTCTCCTACTGTTAATGTATTATTATCAACATGTTTTTTTGGTTAACAGTTGACTAGTTGGCTGCTCCCATGTTGGGGAATAGATATTTACAATTGTTAGATCTTCTTGTTGGAAAGAACTTTCAGTATGATACAGTGTCCCTCCGCATCTCTTACTACAGCCTTTCATTTAAAATCTAATTTGTCTGATATCAGAATTGCTACACAAGCTTTCTTTTGAGGTCCATTGGCCTGATAAATGGTTCTCCATCCCCTCACTTTCAATCTGGAAGTGTCTTTAGGTTCAAAATAAGTCTCTTGTAGACTATGTAAGGATGAGTCCTGTTTCTTTTACCCAATTTGCAATTCTGTGTCATTTCATGGGGGCATTTAGGCCATTCACATTGAGGGTAACTATTGACAGATATGAATTTAGTGCCATCATATTGCCTATAAAAATCCCTATTTTTATAGATTATCTCTCTAAATTTCTGGTCCATATTACCCTTGGGATCTTTCTTCTTTTATAAAATCTCCCTTGATATTTATTGCAGGGCTGGCTTGGTGGTCATATATTCTTTCAGTTTCTGCCTATTCTGAAAACTCTTTATGTCTCCATCCATTCTGGATGACAGCCTTGCTGAATACAGTATTTTTGACTGCATGTTCTTCTCATTACCCTGAATATGTCTTGTCAGCCCTTACTGGGTTTCCAGGTTTCTGTGGACATGTCTGATGTTATTCTGATGACCCTCCCTCCATATGTAGTCCAAAGTTGCTCTCAGGACAGATTACATGGCTCTAAGATGTGAACGTTTCATTATTATATGCCAGTGTTTCTTTATTTTTATTGATTTTATTGATCTTTACTTTTATTGATTTATTGTTATCAATTTAATAATTGATATTGTTACTATATGCCAGTGTTGCTTTATTTTTATCTATTTTATTTATTTTACTGATCTTGAAAGGGGTCCTCTTTGCCTTTTGGACATGATCACTTGTTTTCTACCCCAAGTTAAGTAAGTTCTCAGCTATGATTTGATCAAATATGTCTTCTAGTCCTCTCTTTCTCTCCACCCCCTCAGAGATCCCAAGAATTCTGACATTGGAGCATTTCATGGCATCATTGATCTCTCTAAGTCTGTTCTCATGGGCTTCTAGCTATTTATCTCTATCCTCCTCAGCTTCCTTCCTTTCTATCAGCTTGTCTTCTAGAATACCAATTTGTTCTTCTGCCTCATTTACCCTGGTTGTTAGAGTATCCAGTTTAGACTGCATTTCATTCATAGCATTTTTAAGTTTGGCCTATTAGACC